ACAGTAGATGGGGTAGAGAGAGAAGATGGGAGGGGAGGGGAGGGGAGATAGTAGAGGATAGGAAAGGTAGCAGAATACAWCAGTTACTAATATGGCATTATGTATAAATGTTGATGTGTAACCAATGTGATTCTGCAATCAGTATTTGGGGTAAAAATGGGAGTTCATAACCCACTTGAATCTAATGTATGAAATATGATATGTCAAGAGCTTTGTAATGTTTTGAACATCCAATTAAAAAAAAGAGAGAAAAAAAATTTAAAAAAAATTTTAAAAAAGAGTTTATTTAAATAGTTATTGTTGTAATCAAGAAACTGTTAAGAATTTATTCATTTTCTTCAAATTATATTTGATTTGATTTTGATCATCCCTTCACTGAAAGTAATCCTAAAATGGAAAGGAATTACAGAAATGTGTTATTCTAACCAGAGAAAACAGATTCACTGACAAAGAACTGTTTCAGTACATAGTCATGATTTTCAAAGAAATGCTTATTGTTCATTATATATGAATTACAATAAGAGATGACAGCATTTGAACAATAGCTCTAATAATACATTCCAGGGCAAAAAATAAGCAAAATATATTTAGCATCTTTTAATTATTATTCTACTTTAATTTAAACATAAAACCACCTACCTAGGAAAGCCACAGCTATTACTTGACTTAAATATATTTCTTCTTTAGAATGTGTTCTTTGAAATTTTGTGCCTCCAGTTTAGACATTAATTTTAAAGTTAATAGAAAATATTCTGATAACTATTCTGTAGAGATACTAAAAAAATAATGGCACATAAAATTATTAAGGTTTTATTTTATAAGAGAAAAATTTATACATATCAAGATGAATCCTTTTAAATTATATAGTTTATTATTTAAAATTTGAAAGCAATTTTAACTCTAAATAAAGTTTCAAAATATCTGAATTTCACTTTCTGTCTTCAAAGTAGAATATTTTTTATCTTATCCTAAATGTTCTCTAATGGTCTTTTTAGTAGATAACTTTACCTATAATTATTTAAAACACCAGCTTATCATTATAGTTTTAACAAAGTGTTTCTTCATTATAATTCCTTATTAGAATTTCACTTAAATACCTAAGTATATTGGACTTTATATAAAATATAAATGCCTCTGATCTTTAAATAGACAGACATATTAATTATGAAATGTAATAATGTAACAATACTCTATAAATAGTACAGTATTCATTCCAAATATTTTTTTTTAAGAACAGGTTATACTAGAGTRGTTTAAATTTGGGTTACAAAGTTCATCTTGAGCATATTGCATTTTCTTTTTGGTACCTGTTATAACCATTATTCAATCAGTGTGCTTTCAATGATTTTTTTCATCATTAATTATTGGTTTTAAATATGGAATTATCAAAAGCATTAAAATTACCTTGCTAAACCATAATACTGAGTGTATTCAGTATTTTGTGATATGGTATTATTATGGCCTGGATATTAGGTATTGCCCAAAAGTTCTTGTGAAAATGCAGCAATGTTCAGAGATGAAAACAACTGGATTATGAGAGCTATGATCTTATCATTCTATCCTAATTTGAATGGACTGGCTGGTTGGTAACTGTAGGCAGGTGGGGCACAGCTGGAAGGGGTAGGTCACTGGGTACATGCCCTAGGAGAGTTTTTCTTTCCCTGTGGCCCCTTCTCTTTCTTCTCTGCTTTCTAGGCACGAATAGAGCAATGCTCTATCACCAAACCCTTCTGACAATAATGAACTGCCTCACCTTGGGCCAGTGAAATGGAGTTGAACAAACATAGAATGAATCTTGGGAAACATGAACCAAAACAAACTTTTCCTCCTCTAAGTTATTCTTGTGGGGTATTTTGGCCATAGCAATGAAAAGTTGACTAACACAGGTATATACATACTTTCCTTCTCTCCTTTGTGTATAGAAGTTTAGTTTTAAGTATGTATCTGTTCTCTTCTACTATTGAGAACAGTTGATTAGGACCAGTTGAATTTAGTATTATTTTTTAAGGCAACAAGACTAGTTAATCAAAGACAATGTTATACAGAAAAAGAAACATAGGATTTGGATTCAGACAAACAAACAAATGGAGTTTAAACCTTCTTATGTTACTAGGCAAGAATAAGAACCCAGGCAAATTTAGTGACACTCTAACCCTCGATTTGTCATGTGTTTAATGAGAATAATAATAGTATATGGTTGCTCTGTTGAGTAAATATTCTGCTATCTGAACTACTTATTATAGACTACAAAGCCTTATATGATCTGGTCTCTTCTTATCACTACCCCTTCTAATTCATCTTGTTCAAGCCCCAGAGATCTTACCAGTGTCTAAGGGCTCAGGTCTTCTCTTCTGAATTTCTGCAATTGTTTATCTTCCAATTTAAGAAGAATTCTGCCCACAAGTCTTTGCTTCATTTAGGCCCCTTTCTACATCATGAAGAGTGGCCTTCCCTGGACTTTTTGTCTAAATAACATCTCCGATTTCCTCACCATGTTTGATATTTTTAAGACMACATACCTTTTTTTTAAAAGACCACATAAATTTGAAGTATTATACATTTTTCACTACTATTTCTTTCTGAGTAGAATTTAAGGTTAGTGTGGGTAGGAATATCCTGTCTGTGACTGCAATTGAAGATGGGACACAGTTGTTGCACAATAAATAGCTGAACGAGCCAAAGAATGAACAGACAGTATCTGTCAAGTCCTAGCATATGATAAACACCGAAGGCACTAATGTTGTGCAGAAAAGTGAGAAGTTATATTTTAATCAACTCTGGGTCTTTTGAAACAACTGGGATACCTTTTCCTGATGACAATGCAGACCTAAATCAAGCATGGATGATCTATTAAGGATGATTATCTTCAATCTCTGCTCCTCAATCCCTTACCAAGAATAGAGATGCACTCACCTAAAATATTAAGACATTCCCTGTCTTCTTATAAATTCTCAGGAATGTGCCTATCATGGACAGCAAGCTATACTTATACTTTCAAAAGAGCTCTRTATCAGTTGAAGTTTCCAAAATTACCAGAGAAACTAATTTCCAACAGAAATATTTTTAAGTGACTGTAAGCCCTGCCAGCTTGGAATTTAAAGAGAAGATAAGGCCTTTTACAGTGGTATATACAAAAGACAGAAACATCAAATGTGCCAACATGTCATGCCTTAGTTTTATGACTTAGAACTAGTTTAGGTATTTTATGATGGCCCTTCCCTAATATTTAATTATTAATACTTTTTCAAGATGATGACTTTTTTTAGTATAATGGCTCTGGTTTTTTTACAGACTTTTGAAAAATTACTTATTTTTTAGTTGTAGTTGGACACAATACCTTTATTTATTTATATGTGGTGCTGAGAATCGAACCCAGGGCCTTGCACATGCAAGGCAAGTGCTCTACCACTGAACCACAACCCCAGACCTATTATAGCTCTTTATTCAAAAAAGTTATGGAGGTAAAAACAGTAAGTAACTTTGAACAGGTTAAGATGGACTTACCACAAAAAGTGCAGAACTTATATACTTAACAAAGGTTATTTAACTAAAAATTTGCACTAATGTCAAATCTCATATAAGCAGTACTTGAGAGAAAGGTTGAGAAATGGGATCTTATGAATATAGGTCAGTACTTTACCCTTTCTAGACATGAAGATTTTCCATTTGTGACTGACCTATCATATAAAAAAAGGATTGTCTTGGCCAAAGTAGAAGAAACACAACAAAGCTGCAAGCAATATTTCTTCAATATATTACTACTAGGTTGCTTAGTAAAATTAGAAATTCAGGACTCAAGAGCCTTAAAACTTTTGAATCCCTGGTGTTTGCATTCTGGATTCTAGTTTCTTAACAAGCTCCAAAGGGAACACTTTTATGTATTCTAAAGATTTCAAACTATTTGAGATTTCATATTAAAATCTGAACTCATGCCTTGGCCATGTAAATTGTGATTTAGAAAGTCAAAGTAGTCTCAATCTAAAATAAGCACCCAAACTAACCCTTAGAATCAGGGTAGTTCAGGAAATGTGCATGGCTCTAGAGAGAATGTATGGTGCTTATTAGTATAATGTACATGTTCCCTGAAGGTTTAAGCCCAGCAAAAGGGTATTAAGATATGATGATTAGAGAGATGATTCAATCCTGGCTGGACTAAAGAGAAAGTAGGTCCTTATCAGATATAGCATAACAAAATGTTTCTGACTAAGGTGTGCAGATCATGCCAGCTGGTACTGTGATATTATATACTAAGAAAACTCAGGGGCTGGGGAAAAACTGAGAGAAAGTAGACCAAAGGTTAGCTATAGCTATGGACTCAGAAAATACTGTTTCTTTTACTTTGTTCTCAATACATCTTTTTCTAAACTAAGAAGCAAAATAAGGGAGATGGGGCAGGGATGTAGAAACAGTGATGGCTAAGTTTTTCTGATGCACTTGCTATGATCCATATAATGTTCTAGAAGTATTTTACAGATATCATCTCATCTAATTCTTATCTATCACAATTTTATGTGATAGGTATATTTCATTTCATACTACACAGATGAAGAAACTTAAGCATAGAGGTTTAAAAATAAGCCCAAGCTTCCACAGTGAGTGACAAAGCTGGAACTTGAATACAAGTACACTCCACTCAAATGAAATAAAGGCAATGCAGAAATCCTATCTTCAAAACACAGTATATTGAATGTGTCTTATTTTTTTCTCTCAGATGATGAATTATTTTCCATACTATGTATACTTTTGTCTTCTAACAGCTTAGCATTCAATCAGTTTTTCTCAGACTGATCTCTATTTTTTACCCTGTAAATATCTTCTGGTAACAGCAGCTGCAATAGCACCAACAAAARAATCCCTCTTGACAATTTACTGATTGGGTTGAAATTAATCTGATTTTTCATAATTATAAATTGATTTTGCCATAATATGCAAAATTTAGTTGAAGCATTTTAATTAAGTATTTTGAGCCTTGACAGCCTGATTTTCACTGGAAGGCAATCTTCCTAGCCTGGCATTTCAGTGAAGTTAGTCCCCAGGATGAATATACAAACTACAACTAAAATTACTGTCAGCCTATTAGCATGTAAGAGAGGCATGCAACACAGCCAGGCTGCTAAAACACAGAATTCTTCACATGAACTGCTATTACACCAAATCTGCATCTATATTGTATGTCTACTATAGATGAGTCCACTAAAAAGTAAAATTAATTAATTATAGAATGAGAAAAAAAAGAGAAAACTTAAACTTTCTAGCTATTGCAAAATATTTATTTTGTTGTATGTTTTCTCCCTGAGATTACAATGCCTACAGACTTTCTGAACTATCATCTGTTACAGAAAAAAAAAATGTCTGAAAGTCCAGTACCACATTCCCCAAAAGAAAAACAGAAAAAGAAAAAAATGAAAAACATTTGAGACCTCAGGTTCAAGGAATTTGCCTTCAAAGTCAGTTCTAGTTTATATCGTCATAGTGTAAGAAAAATACACTTAACAGTTCTATATAATCCAACTCACATTTTTTGTTGAATCTTTAAAGATGTTATGAAAAAAAACAACAATAATTTCTAATATCAATTTATACCCACAGGGTTTATCTAATCTCCTATTTTAGTTGTTTAATCAGAAGAGGAAAAAACCTTTGTTTCTTCCTCCCAGGAAACCTGGGCTCTCTATTCATGTTGACCACCTTCTGATCTAAGTAATTCCAGCTTCTTTTTAATATATTGTTTTAGAATTACGAAGAACCCTTCATTGGGCTATTGAAAATGTAAGTAAGGAGTCAGAACTCTCAATTACCTCACTGAAAGTCCTGAGCCTAAACCAAATGAATAGAAATGGGCTGATATTCTCTATACCACATATGTCACACAGATTTTTACTCCTAAAGCAATGCTTTTATCATGATACTTTCTGTCAATCTGTGAAACYGAAATCAGGAGAATTGAGTATTTTTAATCTCCTGGAACTACCTAGCTATCTACATTTTTCCAGGATAACTAATAACTGAAAGCATTATACATTTGTGATTTTAAATATTTTAAAAACCCATTTGATTGGGTTTGATTATTTGAACTCAAACTTATTCAACTTTTTAAAAAATTAGCTTGATTATAAAAGTAGTATGGGATCATCCTGCAAAATTAAAAATTTTAAAAGGTCATAAAATATATATAATAAAAAGTTAAAGTTCCAATGTTCTATTTTATCTTCTATTCTCTTAGAATCAATCAGGATTAAATATGTAGAATCATGGAATAATTTGATGAATTAATAACATAACCATCTTTTACCTGAGGGATGGTCCAAGGGAAGGAAGAATAAAATTACTTCTTTAATCAATATTGAATTATTGGCTAATATGTGAAAAAGTSAAAAATGATGAACATATATTCATGTCTATCAAAAACAAACAGTGGACTCTGAGACCTATCTACTGAAAATAAAGCAAAAGATAGTCACATTACCCTCTGGAAAAAGTGTTTTTCCTAATCTCTCAGATGAATGCAAACAACAGAAGTAAAAAGTCAGGTTAGTTCTAGAACACATGTTAAAATTAAMTGCTTGCCAACAAATTCTTGAACTGACTCAATTCAAATTTTAGTGATTTAAATAGAAATTAGGTAATAAAGATAATTTCTTACACCCTACCATGCATTTACAATCTGTTAGTTTTAAATCTATAGTATTATATCCAGTGCACAAGGGAGTCTGAGACAAATTTAAAGTGGTCACCATTTATAAATCCTGTGACAATTTTCCCTGCTAATGATAAACATGGATTCATTTTCAGTAAGGGACATTTTCACCAGCTATAGTGATCAACTTATAAGAATTTGTAGTCAAGAGAAATATGAAATTGCAATAGTAACTAACATTAATAAGATTCAAGATGATGATATGTAAAGATGCTCTGCTTCTGGCGAGAAGACGTGGTAAGCATTGGTAGAATTTAGTAATGTTTGTTATTCAAAGTAAATAAAACTAAGGTCACATATCTTTCCTGTTATTTTAAAATATTATTTGTTCATTCATGTATTCTATCAACAAATATTTATTGAGCACTATTTATGATGGGTACAGTTCAAGGCACTGAAAATCCATCCATAAATGAGATGAACCAAGTCACAGTCCTTTTGGAAGAAAAATAATATACTGAGGAAGACAGACTAAAACACATAAATAATTTCAGATAGTGAAAAAAACTATATGAGAAACTAAACTGGGACAAAAGGTTAGAGAATTATGGGCTAAGGGTTCTTTGGATATAAGACTACAAATTCCTATAAGTTGATTACTATAGCTGCTGAAAATGTCCCTTACTGAAAATGAATCCATGTTTGTCATTAGCACAATTCCCACCAGTTTAACCTTCCCTGTTGTCTGAATCACCTCTTGGAGAGCACGGGGTTTTTTTTCTACCTCAGTTTTCCTTCTACATATGCAACCATTATTGTCTTGGCATACAATTTCATTATGAATGTTTCTCAGATTATAATTCTAGTGATATATGAAGCTTAAAAGACATTTTGAATTCGGTATTTATGAAACAAAAATGCTTGACAGGTTAGTAATCTTAAATAATTGATTGCATTTATTTTAAGAAAAACATCATTAAACTAAACTTTTATTGACCAAGTAAGACAAAGAAACATATATTTTTAAATGTCTTTTGGCACAGCATACTGATTAAGAGCAAAGTTTGGGATTCAGACAGTTGAATTTCATATGGCAACTCCACTTTAGCTGTAAAATGTGGGTAATTTATTTCAGGCCAAGCCTCACTTTCTTATCCCTAAAATGGATAATAATACCTACCTCTCAAGAGTTGTTTTGGGGATAGGTGAGTGTCTAGTAAAGTACCTGGCATTAAGCACCCAAAGTTAATTGTTAGCTAATAATTAACATTTTTCCCTCAACATAAACATACTTACTTTTAGGAAAATTTGCAGATCTTGAGTCTGAGTGTGCTGTAGAATGTCTTGTTGTAGATGTTTAAATATAGCAATACAGATATACACTTGATAATCAGGACCAAGGAAAATACAGGTAGCAATGTAGTGGCATATTTCTATCCAATCTAAATAATTCCAAAAACACTGGTTTATCCATTGCAGGCAAATCTTTAAAAAATAAAATTAAAAAGTTCATTAAAAATCTTTTAAAACTACATTTTGCTAATAAAAAGCAGCAACCAGTAACACAGAAAGCCAACAAAAAATCTTGTATTTAATAAAAATAGATTATTAGGCTGCAAAGTAGTGTACTAACAAGTATACTTCTCCTATGTGCTTACCATTTGAGAAAACTCATGGCCTTGGGACTCAGGATAATTGAAGGTATTCGAGCTGCTCTTATACCTACTGCTGTATGCCTTCATTATGCATACTGTCCTCTTCTTACTCATAATACCAGTCTGCTCTCTACAGATACAAAGGCTAAGAGACCCTTTTAATTCAGAGATGGGAGTTTTTTATTTTTTCTTTTCTTTTCAATTTATTGGTTCTTTTTAGCTGTACATGACAGTAGAATCCATTTTATATCCTAACTATATTCATAGATATAAAATTACACAGATTATAGATTGCTAAGTGTTACAATAATGCAAATGAACTCTTGCTGAATTAGAAAACTTCTTAAACCAAACAAAATTATATATCATATAAACTGGGAGCTAATGGAGAGAATGATTTAAAAATCAGACTTTCATAAAAACATTTTTTGAGAATAACATCTGTTTAGATTATAAAAGCAATACGTGCACACTGTGGAAAACAGAAAAGTTTAAGAAAAAAAGATCAATAACAACAATGCAGAGATTAACACTGTTAACATTCTGTTATATTAATTCCACCATGGTCAATACCCTACCCCAAATAAACAGACATGTCAAAATCCTAAACTCGAGTACCTCAGCRTGTAACCTTATTTGGAAATAAAGTCTTTACAGAGGCTCTCTAATTAAAATGAGTTTTTTAGGGTGGGTCCTAATCCAAAATGACTGACTTTGTATAAGAGAAAATATGGACATAGAGACAGTTGGGCCACAAAGAAAGGCAAGGAAAAGGCACACCTCATGAAGATGGAGGATTGCAATGACATATCTACAAGGCAAGAGACACCCAAGACCACCAGAGGCTAAGAGAGAGGCCTGAAATAGTTATTTTCTAAGTGCCTTCAGAGTGAACATAGTCTTGTCAACACCAACTTTTGGATTTCAAGTCTCCAGAACTGTGAGAAAATAAAATTTTTGCTGTTTTTAACAATTCAGTTATGTAATTTGTTATTGCAATTACAGAAAACTAATAAAATTTCTTTCCTTTATTTAATTTTCATTTATGATTTACAAATTACTTCTGAGGAAAAATTTTTATTGAATTGCTCYTTTTTTCTTTTGTTTTTTAAAGGATGGGAGAGAAAATGGGCATAGATATGGTGTCATATCTCATTTTTTCATAGGTACATATATAGGTAAACAAATTTTCCCTCTTTTTCCTAACATTTTGCCCTTTTAAAAATACATTTATGGCCAGGTGTGCTAGCATACACCTGTGATTCCAGCTATTCCAAAAGCTGAAGCTGGAGGACTGAAAGTTTGAGGCCTGCCTGGGCAATTTAGCAAGATCCTACCTCAAAATAAAATTTTAAATAAAGGTCTGGGGGTACAAATTAGTGGTAGAGCATTCCAGGGTTCAATTCCCAGGACCGCATTAAAAAAACAAAAACAAAAACAAAACAAAACAAAACTTGAATAAGTTCTAAAAGTTWTCTCCTTGATTTAACTTTTTAGCATGTTAATTCTGCTTTTAACTGGTATTAAATGGTATTTGATTAAAATGGTATTTGTTTGTTAGGTTCAATATAACAAAGAAACACAAACTACTGGATTAAACAACAAAAGAATTATATTTTCTCATTATTCTAAAGAAGTCTCAGGTCAAGCTGTAGGTAGGGTTAGCTTCTTCTGAGCCTTGTCCTCTTGACTTCTTGATGGCATCTGCTCCCTGTGTCTTCCCAAGGTCTTTTCTTTGTCATATCTTTGTCAAAATCTCTTATTAAGGACATGAGTCATACTGGATTAGGGCCCACCCTAATGAGATAATTTTAATTTAATTACTTCTTTGAGTACCCTGTCTTCAAAACAGTCACATCCTACTGGTGATTAGGACTTCAACATGTGAACCACAATTCAACCTATACCATAAGGCATTACAGATTTTTTATTTTCCATACATTATTACTCATATCAACTATTAATCTTTTAATTTCAGTCATTATGAGCATATCTTCTGATTTCTTATTCATAATTCCTTTTTATTACTGAAAAAGCCAACTATATGGCAAACTAAAGGTTTTCCTTATCATTTTAAGTATAATTCTGTTCTCAGATATATGATTTTCCTGTGAATCTATAATGTTTCTCTTCTATTATGCTCCAAAACAACTTCATAGAGTCTCTTATATCGAATTAAAATATATCTTCAAATACCCAATATTTGTCAACAGGCAGGAAATATAAAATTATCTTTGGCCCCAACTTCACTGTTGATTTGATATTAACAAGATTCTTCTCAGAAATTTCAACATTTGTTGAARTTTGGCATATTTGTTAGGTCTGATATAACAAAGAACCACAAACTACTGGATTAAACAACAAAAATGTATTTGGCATATATTTCCAAGCCTCTATCACCCACCAAAAATCCATGTAATATAGCTGTTCTGGACTGAGAAGGAAATAGCTCATGCTCCCACCTGACTAGGCAATCTGAAGCTATTAGTGATTTCTTTGACAAGAAGCACCACTTCTAATTCCTTTAAAGCACTACTGTAGAAATTCTCTGTTTTTTTGCTACAGCAATTCATGCCAATACAGGACTATGCTGTATTAATGAAAATTAGTTTAATGGATGAATGAAGAGAAATAACCAAAGAGTGAAAATAAATATAAACGATCCCCACATCCAGAGAAAGGAGTTCCCATTCTATTGTCAGTTTCAGGACAAACTGGCAAGTATAAAAATGAGGGATTCACAACTTCTGTCCACCATCCATACTAGTTAAAAGAATCTGTAATCAGTTCTTTATTACATGTAGTTTTCTAATTCAGTTTTAATTTTCTAGAGGTTATATACATTGAAGCATTGTTTTCTATATAATGAATTTTTCTTCGATTAAATTAAAATATGTCTTCTCTATTACATGGGAAATTCAGGGAAAAGTGAAGAACTGAAACTAAAAGCACAATGTAAAAAGGGTRTGTGTGTATTTCTTTCTTCATAAGGYATTTTGTAAACCATTGGTAATAATATTTTTTAGTGAACATAAGAAAACACTGATTGATTTCAAGAATATAATAGTACATTTTGAGACTTAGAAAAGGGAATGTGACAGTTTCTAATAAAATTATATGTGCATTTACCCTTTAACACAGCAATCTCATTTGTAGAAATCCATCTTAGAAACACTGGAAAAAATTTCAAAATATATATATATATATATATATATATATATATATATATATAAACATGTTTTTAGAGTACTATTCAGTTCATAGTATCAAAAGATAAAAAATAATGCAAATGATCATGAATGGGGGCTTGGATTTATAAATTGTGAGG